ATTTTCCAACAACATTATTTGAAGGGTGTTGTCATTAATATATCAATTCAACTATTCATAAGTAATGAGATATGCTATAAATATTTCCATATAAATACCATACTAGTTCTGAAATATGGACCACGCTCGTTGGAAGTGCTTCCAAACGGAAAGCCAAAAAAGAAAAGGAGGCAGTTTTGCTTCAAAGTGTTCCACTCATTGCCAACTTCTTTCAAAAAACCCTCTGATAGTAATAATGATGACAGCAGCACCATTGTCAGCTGTGAGGAAGGAACTAGCACGAGTTCAGTTTCCAGTAATGTTGTCACTCCCCCAGAGCCATCCCTTTGAAGGCGAACCCTCAACAGTTAATGGTACACAAGAACCATCATTTCCACCTCAGGAGCAGTTGGGCAGTTCAGAAGAATCAAATCAGCAACCAAGCCATTCCTGGTGCTAAGAGGTCACTGACCGTGCATTATGGCAAAGCACTTTCAGTGACATTGGTAAGTCAGTGCGTATTGAAAGAGCAGTCCCCTTCAAAAACCGCAGTGAAAAATTCCCAGCTTCAGTCCGAGATAGAGCACTTGGTGGACAGACTGGAAGTTTCAACAATGAACTTCTTAACTGTATATTGCCAAATGGGCAGGTTTCTGGAGTGGCGATTGTACGTACTCACCCTCAACAGGTTGTGTGTAACTGTTTTGCATGCAAACTGTTCTCCAGCAAGCTTTAGTCAGGGGTTTAGTGACTGGAAGCGCTCTGAAAGAATAGAGGAACACGAAAAGAGCGCAGAACACAGATCGTGCGTGCTTGCCTTGCACCAGCGGACAAAGGGCAGTGCTATAGATGCAGATCTCGTGCAGCAACTTGATGGGGAACGTAAATACTGGAGGGACATTTTGAAAAGAGTTGTAGCAGTGATCAAGTTCTTGGGTGAAAGAGGACTTGCGTTTAGGGGAGATGATGAACGGTTTGGGACAACCTATAACGGTTATTTCCTTGGCATCCTAGAATTGCGATGACAATTTGACCCATTCTTGGCTGAATATTAAAAAGTTTGGTGGAATAGGAACAGTGTCCTATTTGACATCGACAATGTGTGAATAACTCATTGAATTAATGGGTCAGAAAACTCGCCAAACAATAGCGGATGAGATTCGGGATGCCAAATATTTTTCAATAATTGTTCACTCCACCCCAGACCTGTCACATGTGGACCAATTGACGTTCATATTCCGGTTTGTTAAGAGCAGCGGGAATGTGCTGGAGCGATTCCTGGGCTTTGAGCCAATTCAGAGCCACACCAGGAAAACTTTAGCAGATTGTGATGGTGGAGGGCCTTGGGTTGGACCTCTCAAACTGAGGTCAGTCGTATGACAATGCAAGCAACATGTCAGGAAAATACAATGAGCTACAGAGTATGTGCCTTGCGCAGCGCATTCACTTAACTTAGTTGGTGTTGACACCTTCAACGGCAGTAGCCCAGAGGCTGACGAGTTATTTTTAACATGTTGCAGTCACTGTACCCATTTTGCTCTTCATCCACACACAGATGGGGGAAAGTCTTTCCGAAGACAGATGTCAGACTGGCATTAACATCGCTGTCCAGTACTCGGTGGAGTGCTCAGGCAGAGTCAGCCAAGGCAGCGTGGAGTAATTGCACCCACATTAGAGTGGCCTCTGGTGGTATGTGCAATGATGATGAGAAAAGAGATGCTCGAATTGAGGCCGCTGGACGATGCTAAATTGGACACCCTAAAGACGGTGTTCATGGCACATTTCTGGGACGTCATACTTGACCGGTTCCACGCTACAAGCATGCACCTACAGAAAAGTGACATTTACATCTCTGTAGCAGCACAGCTTTTACCTTCGTTGACGGATTTTGTGGCGGGACAGCGAGACCAGTTTGAGGCTTTTGAAAGGGCAGCCTTAAATGTGACAGGTGTCTCGCAGTCACATAAGCACGATCTTCAGCGAAAGAGGAAACGCAAAAACATTTGCAGACGAGAGCTCAGAGCCAGGTGTGACACTTGAGGAGAGGGAGATGTTCAACATAGAAACATTTTATGTGGTCACCGATAAGCTAGTGGCGTGCCTTGAACATCGCTTGGACGCTTAGAAGCGTTTGGACCAGTCTCTTTGGAGTTCTGTTTATGTCAGATCAGGTGTCTAACAGTGATGTCATAGTGGAAAAGGTAAATGCACTCTCCGCTGCATACCCATCAGACCTGGACATGAACTTTGCCAACGAACTCACATCCAATTCAAGTCTTTCATGTCTTGACTCCGAGGGTGAGAAGTGCCCAACTAAATTGCTTGAGACGTTGCAGGGCACTTAATCTGCAGAATAAAGAATGAGCTGCGGAGGAGCGTGTTGCCAAACACGACTCAGCTCATTGTCACTTATGGCTATAGTCAGACCTTGTCAGACAGCGAGATTTTTGATGATCTAGTGGATGATTTTGCAAGGAGGAAGGCAAGAAAGACACCAATATAGAAAAGTGGGGGGGGGGGGGGCTCCAAAAGACACGTGACCAGGGGCCCTCACGGGACTATGATCCAGCCCTGTGTGTGCAGTGTTGAAGCTATGGTGCAGTGTTGAGTCTATGGTGCAGTGTTGAGTCTACGGGCAGTGTTGAGTCTATGGGCAGTGTTGAGTCTATGGTGCAGTGTCTATGGTGCAGTGTTCAGTCTATGGTGGAGTGTTGAGTCTATGGTGCAGTGTCTATGGGCAGTGTTGAGTCTATGGTGCAGTGTTGAGTCTGTGGGCAGTGTTGAGTCTATGGTGCAGTGTCTATGGGCAGTGTTGAGTCTATGGTGCAGTGTCTATGGGCAGTGTTGAGTCTATCGTGCAGTGTTGAGTCTATGGTGCAGTGTTGAGCCTATTGTCCGTGTAGTCTCTGGTGCAGTGTTGAGTCTTAGAAGGCCAGCTGATTGTCACCAGCGCTGGGGGTGAGGGGTCTGGCACAGCGGTGGTCTTGACACCGGCTGGTCGTGGCTGCAGCATCTGACCTCCATCAGCATCGCTATTTGGTCAGTCACTGCCCCAATCGTCACGACATCACCATCCTATCACCATGATATCCACGGTGACATCATCCAATCACCATGACAACATCCAATCACCACAACATCCACCATGACATCGTCCAACCACAACATCTCATCCAACCACTGTTTAGAAACATCCAATCATGACAACATCCACCACCAGTGCCGGATTATCTTAGTCGCACAAGTAGCTATATGTGTAGTAACTGCTACACGTGTAGTAACTGCTACACGTGTAGTAGCTGCTACACGTGTAGTAGCTGCTACACGTGTAGTAGCTGCTACACGTGTAGTAGTTACTACATGTGTAGTAGCTATGGGCCCCGCACTTTCAAGGGCCCCGCGCTAAATGCTTTCAAGCTATCAATGCCGGTTCAGTGATTCTGCTCTTGCTCTATTACTATAGTACTATACCGCCTTCAACTTTTATGAACGACTGGGTGTTTAAGTTTAGCGATTTGTCGTATTATCTGGCTGTGTAGCAAATGAAAAAATACAATTACTTTACTGTGCAAGTAAAAAAAAACTTGTATTTTAATATTTTTTTTAATTTAGGGACCACTTTATAACATCATGCTACAGGCCCCGCACTAGCTTAATCCGGCACTGTCCACCACGACATTCATCCAACCACATTAACAGCCAATCATCACGTCGCCAACCGGTCTATACTTGACAACGGTGCGTATTTATGCTTGTTGAATTTCTTTCGCGCCGTATGTCGCCGACCGCGCTCATCGCAGGAAGGGCAGCAAACGAGACGCAAGCAGCGGGTTTTCAATCGAGGCGATTCGAAAGTGCATTGGAACGCCGGAAGCTTTGTCATAATATCGTAAAGGCGTTCCAGACGGCCCCAGATGCGCCTCCGAAAAGCGCCGCGCGATGTGGCGACCACCGCCTTCGTTTCGACGGCCAGCCACAGAAGCCGCCGCCGCCGCCGCCGCCGCGAGGATGGCGACCGCAGTTCGCGCGATGGTTTCATGTTCGACGACGACGGCACACGCTCGCCAGGCTCGATCCGCTCCGGCGTTCGTGAATTCACCCGACTGTCGTGGGCCATCAACGCCTGCACCCGCAACAGCAGCAGCAGCAGCAGCACCGGCCAACGCAAGGGCACCGGCTGCCCGCCTACAACCTCCCATAGTCTCCTCTCCCCCCTGACAGCAGCAAGTGGGCTTCCGGTAACGCAGGCAAGTGCTGAATGACACCAAATCCTTCTGGGATCGCGTTGCTGCCACCCTAGAATCTCGCCACCCAGGTCCACAGGAAAGCTGCTGCTGCTGCGCGGTACTGAGTGGAACAACGCGGACGTACAGAATAATGAACACCTCATTCGAGACGCACACACCATCATCGCACCTCCTCCAGGCTTTGACTTCCTCCTCCACCTCGAAGACACCGACTGGTGGAACCATCAACTCGCCTACCCATTCAGCCAGTCACTCAGTTACCCACTCACTCAACTAACCATGCACCCACTCAACCACTCACTAACCTACCCAGTCACTCATCTACCCACTCACCCACTCACCAACCCACTCACCCAGTGACTCACCCACCCACTCACTCATCTACCCACTCACCCACCCACTTACCCAGTCACTCACCTACCCAGTCACTCGCTCACCACCGGTGGAACCATTAACTCACCTACCCACTCACCCAGTCACCCATCCAGTCACCCACGCACCCACTCACCCAGTCACTCATCTGCCCACCCGCTCACTCGCTCGCTCACCATAGGTGGAACGCCATCAACCGCGTCAGAACGTCGACAGCAGGCCGATGCTGCAGGACTGGCGCGGTTGTGGCCGCGCAGCACAAACTACGAAATCCATGGACAGGCACGGAGATGTCGCAGCAGATGTAGTCACACGTAGACTCGGTGTTGTTTGTTTTAAAATAAGCCACGCTGTGATTTTGGCCACGTAACCCAAAGAACACGTAGAGGAAGCAGGAGGAGGTACAGCGAAACTACACAAACTTTTTACTGAAAACCCTCATCATCATGGTCGGCAGCACCAGCAGCAGGACCTCCACATTGGCAACTGGCCTCTGAACATCACCGCCGATGCCATCGCGCGCAGGAAAACAATTGCATCGATTTTCTGTTTGTTATGTACACAAGTGGCAAGCGTTAAATAGATTTGATAGAATTGTTACGCGAATACGCAGCAAAAACTTCATGATCTGGTGGTGTACGAGATTTCAACACCGCAGAGATTTAAACAAAAACAAAAAAAAGTCCACACGATGGCAACAGGGCGGCATCGTTGATCTCCGCCCGTCGGGAATGTCTCTACCTCCTCCCTCCACCTCCTCCACCACCTCCACCTCCTCCCTCCGCCGTCGCCGTCTTCACAAGTGGAACTCCACCTTCTGGGCGACGCTCTTGCAGCCCGTGACAGAGAAGATGCCCTCGTTCTCGGGAAAGTAAGCCATCTCGTCGGCGACGGCCTTGGCCACGCGCTCCACTGCGTCAATCAGCTGCACCCCGCGCGCCCTCGCCACCGCGCGCGCGCACATGCGCACGTGCCGGTGCTCCAGCGGCAGGAAGGGCACGAAGAAGTCGATGAGGTGCTTGTCAATGAGGCTCGCGTGCCAGAAGCCACCTGCAGGGCGGGCGGGCGGGCGGGCGGAGAGAGAGAGAGACGCGCCGTAGAGGGCGCTCCGTTTGAGGCCGAGTCGACCTAGCGGAGGCCCAGGACCGGTTTCGGATGATCGTGTTGGTCCTTGAGCGGGAAACGAGCTGGGGTCGTGGGGTTCGTAGCGCAGCGTAGCGCTAACCGCTGCACGACCGCTCCCCCCCCCCCGCACTGTGTTTCCCTTCTTGTTAGGCCACAACAAATGCAAAGATCCCCCCCAACGCTCCCCGTGCTGGACACACACGCGGGACCACAATAACAGCAGCAGTTTGCCACTAAGTGGCGGTGACGTAACCACGGCGGCCCGTGCCAGGCCAGGTGCGCTTTGAGGAGGACCACGTGTGACGTGTCTAAGGCTCGCTGCTGGCAGGAGGTCACGGGACCAGACCCAGGTGCCGTGGGTTGACCGACTGAGATGGCTGGCAGATGCGCGACCTTGTTCTCCCCATATCGAGCAAAACGCACACGCGTGTACACGCACACGCACGCACGCGTGTACACGCACACGCGCGCATGCACGCGTGTACACGCATACGCACGCGTGTACACACACACGCACGCGTGTACACGCGTACGCATACGCACAGCAAGTGCGGGGCTGCAGAGAGAGAGAGCCACGTACTGCTTTTGTCGTTGAAGGCACGCAGCGTGAGCACCTTCTCCGTGTCCGCGAGGACGATCTCCTCGCGCTTGCGGCCCTCGTTCCAGAAGCGCAGCGCCACCTCGTTGATGTCGTTACCTCCGGCGTTACTGCACGGGGAGCGGCGAGGGAGGAGGAGCGGGGAGGGAGGGAGGAGCGGGGAGGGAGGGAGGAGGAGCAGGGAGGGAGGAGGAGCGGGGAGGGAGGGAGGAGCGGGGAGGGAGGGAGGAGGAGCGGCGAGGGAGGAGGAGCGGGGAGGGAGGAGGAGCGGGGAGGGAGGGAGGAGGAGCGGGGAGGGAGGAGGAGCGGGGAGGGAGGAGGAGCGGGGAAGGAGGAGGAGCGGGGAGGGAGGGAGGGAGGGAGGAGGAGCGGGGAGGGAGGGAGGAGGAGCGGGGAGGGAGGAGGAGCGGGGATGGAGGGAGGATGAGCGGGGAGGGAGGAGGAGCGGGGAGGGAGGGAGGAGGAGCGGGGAGGGAGGAGGAGCGGGGAGGGAGGGAGGGAGGAGGAGCGGGGAGGGAGGGAGGAGGAGCGGGGAGGGAGGAGGAGCGGGGAGGGAGGGAGGAGGAGCGGGGAGGGAGGAGGAGTGGGGAGGGAGGAGGAGCGGGGAGGGAGGGAGGGAGGAGGAGCGGGGAGGGAGGGAGGAGGAGCGGGGAGGGAGGGAGGGAGGAGGAGCGGGGAGGGAGGGAGGAGGAGCGGGGAGGGAGGAGGAGCGGGGAGGGAGGGAGGGAGGAGGAGCGGGGAGGGAGGGAGGAGGAGCGGGGAGGGAGGAGGAGCGGGGAGGGAGGGAGGGAGGAGGAGCGGGGAGGGAGGAGGAGCGGGGAGGGAGGGAGGAGGAGCGGGGAGGGAGGAGGAGCGGGGAGGGAGGGAGGAGGAGCGGGGAGGGAGGAGGAGCGGGGAGGGAGGGAGGAGGAGCGGGGAGGGAGGAGGAGCGGGGAGGGAGGGAGGGAGGAGGAGCGGGGAGGGAGGGAGGAGGAGCGGGGAGGGAGGAGGAGCGGGGAGGGAGGGAGGGAGGAGGAGCGGGGAGGGAGGAGGAGCGGCTCGTGACATTGGTGGACGCGAGTCCCCGCGCCTCCGACGCGGTACCCGCTGCGCAACTCCTGTGAATCCCCACGACACGCGTGTGCGTGTACACGTGTGTACACGCGTGTAGGTCGACTAAGCCTAAAATGAGTACCTGGCGCGGTGTGTAGTAAACATCGCCACTGGGGGAGACAAAGGCGGTCGGGCGTGGTGCTGGCCACCCACCCCCTCGTGTACCGTTCCGGCCTTCACAGGTGCTACTCGCTAACAGCACTTGCCCCTACAGTCTGTTAAGGTTACACGGGGGATGTTTGTGTGTGTGTGTGTACACGCGTGTGTGTGTGTGTACACGTATGTGCGTGTGTGTGTACACGTGTGTGCGTGCGTACGCGCGTGCGTGTGTACGCGCGTGCGTGTGTACGCGCGTGCATGTGTGTGTGTGTGTACGCGCGTGCGTGTGTGTGTGTGTGTACACCGGCACGTGCTCCACGCTCCCGCTCCCCATGTCCCGCCCGGAGCGGTCACAGTGGCACCGACCTGAGGAAGATGAAGATGGCGTGGCGGTAGTCCACGCCGTCCAGTATGGGGTAGTAGTCGAGGAACGGCTTGATGGCGTCGATGAGGCCGGGGTGCATCTTGTCCATCTCGTCGAAGACGAACACGGAATGTTTGCACGTGGTCACGTTCCCGCGGATCCAGCCCTGCAGCTGCTCCTGAGTTGCGCGCCCGCACAAGCGCCCACACGCAAGCAAGCGCGCGGGGAACCGTGAGCACGCAAAACCGACACGATCTCGTTTCTACTCACGCTCACGATGGCAGTAAGTAACATGTCCAGGAGCCCGATGCTCAATGCGGACGTGGAGGTGCCGCTGCTACTACTGGTTCTGCTTTCCAAGACGAGGAGCGCTTCAGGGAAAGGCGTTAGGAGATGCCAGGGTGGGCAACGTGACTCCGCGTGGAAGAGGGTGGTGGTGCCCTCCTCAAGGGCTACGGCGAGTGTTGGTTGGCTGGTGTGGCGAGGGTTAGAATTAGTGTCTGGTAGGCTAGTGTGGCGAGAGAATTAGTGTCTGGTTGGCTAGCGTGGTGAGAGTCAGAATTAGTGTCTGGTTGGCTAGTGTGGTGACAGAATTAGTGTCTGGTTGGCTAGTGTGGCGAGAGACAGAATTAGTGTCTGGTTGGCTAGTGTGGCGAGAGACAGAATTAGTGTCTGGTTGGCTAGTGTGGCGAGAGACAGAATTAGTGTCTGGTTGGCTAGTGTGGTGAGAGACAGAATTAGTGTCTGGTTGGCTAGTGTGGTGAGAGACAGAATTAGTGTCTGGTTGGCTAGTGTGGCGAGAGACACAATTAGTGTCTGGTTGGCTAGTGTGGTGAGAGACAGAATTAGTGTCTGGTTGGCTAGTGTGGTGAGAGTTAGAATTAGTGTCTGGTTGGCTGGTGTGGCGAGAGACAGAATTAGTGTCTGGTTGGCTAGTGTGGTGAGAGACAGAATTAGTGTCTAGTTGGCTAGTGTGGTGAGAGACAGAATTAGTGTCTGGTTGGCTAGTGTGGTGAGAGTTAGAATTGGTGTCTGGTTGGCTGGTGTGGCGGGAGTTAGAATTAGTGTCTGGTTGGCTAGTGTGGTGACAGAATTAGTGTCTGGTTGGCTAGTGTGGCGAGGGTGAGAATTAGTGTCTGGTTGGTTAGTGTGGTGACAGAATTAGTGTCTGGTTGGCTAGTGTGGCGAGAGACAATTAGTGTCTGGTTGGCTAGTGTGGTGAGAGACAGAATCAGTGTCTGGTTGGCTAGTGTGGCAAGAGACAGAATTAGTGTCTGGTTGGCTAGTGTGGTGAGAGTCAGAATTAGTGTCTGGTTGGTTAGTGTGGTGAGAGACAGAATTAGTGTCTGGTTGGCTAGTGTGGCAAGAGACAGAATTAGTGTCTGGTTGGCTAGTGTGGTGAGAGACAGAATTAGTGTCTAGTTGGCTAGTGTGGCGAAAGACAGAATTAGTGTCTGGTTGGCTAGTGTGGCGGGAGTCAGAATTAGTGTCTGGTTGGCTAGTGTGGCGACAGAATTAGTGTCTGGTTGGCTAGTGTGGCGAGAGACAGAATTAGTGTCTGGTTGGCTAGTGTGGCGAGAGACAGAATTAGTGTCTGGTTGGCTAGTGTGGCGAGAGACAGAATTAGTGTCTGGTTGGCTAGTGTGGTGAGAGACAGAATTCGTGTCTGGTTGGCTAGTGTGGTGAGAGACAGAATTAGTGTCTGGTTGGCTAGTGTGGCGAGAGACACAATTAGTGTCTGGTTGGCTAGTGTGGTGAGAGACAGAATTAGTGTCTGGTTGGCTAGTGTGGTGAGAGTTAGAATTAGTGTCTGGTTGGCTGGTGTGGCGAGAGACAGAATTAGTGTCTGGTTGGCTAGTGTGGTGAGAGACAGAATTAGTGTCTAGTTGGCTAGTGTGGTGAGAGACAGAATTAGTGTCTGGTTGGCTAGTGTGGTGAGAGTTAGAATTGGTGTCTGGTTGGCTGGTGTGGCGGGAGTTAGAATTAGTGTCTGGTTGGCTAGTGTGGTGACAGAATTAGTGTCTGGTTGGCTAGTGTGGCGAGGGTGAGAATTAGTGTCTGGTTGGTTAGTGTGGTGACAGAATTAGTGTCTGGTTGGCTAGTGTGGCGAGAGACAATTAGTGTCTGGTTGGCTAGTGTGGTGAGAGACAGAATCAGTGTCTGGTTGGCTAGTGTGGCAAGAGACAGAATTAGTGTCTGGTTGGCTAGTGTGGTGAGAGTCAGAATTAGTGTCTGGTTGGCTAGTGTGGTGAGAGACAGAATTAGTGTCTGGTTGGCTGGTGTGGCAAGAGACAGAATTAGTGTCTGGTTGGCTAGTGTGGTGAGAGACAGAATTAGTGTCTGGTTGGCTAGTGTGGCGGGAGTCAGAATTAGTGTCTGGTTGGCTAGTGTGGCGACAGAATTAGTGTCTGGTTGGCTAGTGTGGCGAGAGACAGAATTAGTGTCTGGTTGGCTAGTGTGGCGAGAGACAGAATTAGTGTCTGCTTGGCTAGTGTGGTGAGAGACAGAATTAGTGTCTAGTTGGCTAGTGTGGCGACAGAATTAGTGTCTAGTTGGCTAGTGTGGCGACAGAATTCGTGTCTGGTTGGCTAGTGTGGCGAGAGACAGAATTAGTGACTAGTTGGCTAGTGTGGCGAGAGACAGATTTAGTGTCTGGTTGGCTAGTGTGGTGAGAGACAGAATTAGTGTCTGGTTGGCTAGTGTGGTGAGAGACAGAATTAGTGTCTGGTTGGCTAGTGTGTTGAGAGACAGAATTAGTGTCTAGTTGGCTAGTTTGGTGAGAGACAGAATTAGTGTCTGGTTGGCGAGTGTGGCGACAGAATCAGTGTCTGGTTGGCGAGTGTGGTGAGAGTCAGAATTAGTGTCTGGCTCGCTAGTGTGGTGAGAGACAGAATTAGTGTCTGGTTGGCTAGTGTGGTGACAGAATTAGTGTCTGGTTGGCTAGTGTGGCGAGAGACAGAATTAGTGTCTGGTTGGCTAGTGTGGTGAGAGACAGAATTAGTGTCTGGTTGGCTAGTGTGGTGAGAGACAGAATTAGTGTCTAGTTGGCTAGTGTGGTGAGAGGCAGAATTAGTGTCTGGTTGGCTAGTGTGGTGAGAGACAGAATTAGTGTCTGGTTGGTTAGTGTGGTGACAGAATTAGTGTCTGGTTGGCTAGTGTGGTGAGAGACAGAATTAGTGTCTGGTTGGCTAGTGTGGCGAGGGTGAGAATTAGTGTCTGGTTGGTTAGTGTGGTGACAGAATTAGTGTCTGGTTGGCTAGTGTGGTGAGAGACAATTAGTGTCTGGTTGGCTAGTGTGGCGAGAGACAGAATTAGTGTCTGGTTGGCTAGTGTGGTGAGAGACAGAATTAGTGTCTGGTTGGCTAGTGTGTTGAGAGACAGAATTAGTGTCTAGTTGGCTAGTTTGGTGAGAGACAGAATTAGTGTCTGGTTGGCGAGTGTGGCGACAGAATCAGTGTCTGGTTGGCGAGTGTGGTGAGAGTCAGAATTAGTGTCTGGTTGGCTAGTGTGGTGAGAGACAGAATTAGTGTCTGGTTGGCTAGTGTGGCGGGAGTCAGAATTAGTGTCTGGTTGGCTAGTGTGGCGACAGAATTAGTGTCTGGTTGGCTAGTGTGGCGAGAGACAGAATTAGTGTCTGGTTGGCTAGTGTGGCGAGAGACAGAATTAGTGTCTGCTTGGCTAGTGTGGTGAGAGACAGAATTAGTGTCTAGTTGGCTAGTGTGGCGACAGAATTAGTGTCTAGTTGGCTAGTGTGGCGACAGAATTCGTGTCTGGTTGGCTAGTGTGGCGAGAGACAGAATTAGTGACTAGTTGGCTAGTGTGGCGAGAGACAGATTTAGTGTCTGGTTGGCTAGTGTGGTGAGAGACAGAATTAGTGTCTGGTTGGCTAGTGTGGTGAGAGACAGAATTAGTGTCTGGTTGGCTAGTGTGTTGAGAGACAGAATTAGTGTCTAGTTGGCTAGTTTGGTGAGAGACAGAATTAGTGTCTGGTTGGCGAGTGTGGCGACAGAATCAGTGTCTGGTTGGCGAGTGTGGTGAGAGTCAGAATTAGTGTCTGGCTCGCTAGTGTGGTGAGAGACAGAATTAGTGTCTGGTTGGCTAGTGTGGTGACAGAATTAGTGTCTGGTTGGCTAGTGTGGCGAGAGACAGAATTAGTGTCTGGTTGGCTAGTGTGGTGAGAGACAGAATTAGTGTCTGGTTGGCTAGTGTGGTGAGAGACAGAATTAGTGTCTAGTTGGCTAGTGTGGTGAGAGGCAGAATTAGTGTCTGGTTGGCTAGTGTGGTGAGAGACAGAATTAGTGTCTGGTTGGTTAGTGTGGTGACAGAATTAGTGTCTGGTTGGCTAGTGTGGTGAGAGACAGAATTAGTGTCTGGTTGGCTAGTGTGGCGAGGGTGAGAATTAGTGTCTGGTTGGTTAGTGTGGTGACAGAATTAGTGTCTGGTTGGCTAGTGTGGTGAGAGACAATTAGTGTCTGGTTGGCTAGTGTGGCGAGAGACAGAATTAGTGTCTGGTTGGCTAGTGTGGCGAGAGACAGAATTAGTGTCTGGTTGGCTAGTGTGGCGAGGGTGAGAATTAGTGTCTGGTTGGCTAGTGTGGCGAGAGACAGAATTAGTGTCTGGTTGGCTAGTGTGGCGAGAGACAGATTTAGTGTCTGGTTGGCTAGTGTGGCGAGAGACAGAATTAGTGTCTGGTTGGCTAGTGTGGTGAGAGACAGAATTAGTGTCTGGTTGGCTAGTGTTGCGACAGAATTAGTGTCTGGTTGGCTAGTGTGGTGAGAGACAGAATTAGTGTCTGGTTGGCTAGTGTGGCGACAGAATTAGTGTCTGGTTGGCTAGTGTGGCGACAGAATCAGTGTCTGGTTGGCGAGTGTGGCGAGAGACAGAATTAGTGTCTGGATGGCTAGTGTGGTGAGAGACAGAATTAGTGTCTGGTTGGCGAGTGTGGCGACAGAATCAGTGTCTGGTTGGCGAGTGTGGTGAGAGTCAGAATTAGTGTCTGGATGGCTAGTGTGGCGACAGAATTAGTGTCTGGTTGGTTAGTGTGGTGAGGGTGAGAATTAGTGTCTGGTTGGCTAGTGTGGTGAGAGACAGAATTAGTGTGTGGTTGGCTAGTGTGGTGAGAGAATTAGTGTCTGGTTGGCTAGTGTTGCGACAGAATTAGTGTCTGGTTGGCTAGTGTGGTGAGAGACAGAATTAGTGTCTGGCTGGCTAGTGTGGTGAGAGACAGAATTAGTGTCTGGTTGGCTAGTGTGGTGACAGAATTAGTGTCTGGTTGGCTAGTGTGGCGAGAGACAGAATTAGTGTCTGGTTGGCTAGTGTGGTGAGAGACAGAATTAGTGTCTGGTTGGCTAGTGTGGTGAGAGACAGAATTAGTGTCTAGTTGGCTAGTGTGGTGAGAGGCAGAATTAGTGTCTGGTTGGCTAGTGTGGTGAGAGACAGAATTAGTGTCTGGTTGGTTAGTGTGGTGACAGAATTAGTGTCTGGTTGGCTAGTGTGGTGAGAGACAGAATTAGTGTCTGGTTGGCTAGTGTGGCGAGGGTGAGAATTAGTGTCTGGTTGGTTAGTGTGGTGACAGAATTAGTGTCTGGTTGGCTAGTGTGGTGAGAGACAATTAGTGTCTGGTTGGCTAGTGTGGCGAGAGACAGAATTAGTGTCTGGTTGGCTAGTGTGGCGAGAGACAGAATTAGTGTCTGGTTGGCTAGTGTGGCGAGGGTGAGAATTAGTGTCTGGTTGGCTAGTGTGGCGAGAGACAGAATTAGTGTCTGGTTGGCTAGTGTGGCGAGAGACAGATTTAGTGTCTGGTTGGCTAGTGTGGCGAAAGACAGAATTAGTGTCTGGTTGGCTCGTGTGGTGAGAGACAGAATTAGTGTCTGGTTGGCTAGTGTTGCGACAGAATTAGTGTCTGGTTGGCTAGTGTGGTGAGAGACAGAATTAGTGTCTGGTTGGCTAGTGTGGCGACAGAATTAGTGTCTGGTTGGCTAGTGTGGCGACAGAATCAGTGTCTGGTTGGCGAGTGTGGCGAGAGACAGAATTAGTGTCTGGATGGCTAGTGTGGTGAGAGACAGAATTAGTGTCTGGTTGGCGAGTGTGGCGACAGAATCAGTGTCTGGTTGGCGAGTGTGGTGAGAGTCAGAATTAGTGTCTGGATGGCTAGTGTGGCGACAGAATTAGTGTCTGGTTGGTTAGTGTGGTGAGGGTGAGAATTAGTGTCTGGTTGGCTAGTGTGGTGAGAGACAGAATTAGTGTGTGGTTGGCTAGTGTGGTGAGAGAATTAGTGTCTGGTTGGCTAGTGTTGCGACAGAATTAGTGTCTGGTTGGCTAGTGTGGTGAGAGACAGAATTAGTGTCTGGTTGGCTAGTGTGGCGACAGAATTAGTGTCTGGTTGGCTAGTGTGGCGACAGAATCAGTGTCTGGTTGGCTAGTGTGGCGAGAGAATTAGTGTCTGGTTGGCTAGTGTGGTGAGAGACAGAATTAGTGTCTGGTTGGCTAGTGTGGTGAGAGACAGAATTAGTGTCTAGTTGGCTAGTGTGGTGAGAGACATAATTAGTGTCTGGTTGGCGAGTGTGGCGACAGAATCAGTGTCTGGTTGGCGAGTGTGGTGAGAGACAGAATTAGTGTCTGGATGGCTAGTGTGGCGACAGAATTAGTGTCTGGTTGGCTAGTGTGGCGGGAGTTAGAATTAGTGTCCGGTTGGCTAGTGTGGTGACAGAATTAGTGACTGGTTGGCTAGTGTGGCGACAGAATTAGTGTCTGGTTGGCTAGTGTGGTGAGAGACAGAATTAGTGTCTAGTTGGCTAGTGTGGCGACATAATTAGTGTCTGGTTGGCTAGTGTGGCGACAGAATTAGTGACTAGTGGGCTAGTGTGGCGAGAGACAGATTTAGTGTCTGGTTGGCTAGTGTGGCGAGAGACAGAATTAGTGTCTAGTTGTCTAGTGTGGCGAGGGTGAGAATTAGTGTCTGGTTGGCTAGTGTGGTGAGAGACAGAATTAGTGTCTGGTTGGCTAGTGTGGCGAGGGTGAGAATTAGTGTCTGGTTGGCTAGTGTGGTGACAGAATTAGTGTCTGGTTGGCTAGTGTGGTGACACAATTAGTGTCTGGTTGGCTAGTGTGGTGACACAATTAGTGTCTGGTTGGCTAGTGTGGCGACACAATTAGTGTCTGGTTGGCTAGTGTGGCGACAGAATTAGTGTCTGGTTGGCTAGTGTGGCGAGAGACAGAATTAGTGTCTGGTTGGCTAGTGTGGTGAGAGACAGAATTAGTGTCTGGTTGGCTAGTGTGGCGAGAGACAGAATTAGTGTCTGGTTGGCTAGTGTGGCGACAGAATTAGTGTCTGGTTGGCTAGTGTGGCGAGAGACAGAATTAGTGTCTGGTTGGCTAGTGTGGTGAGAGACAGAATTAGTGTCTAGTTGGCTAGTGTGGCGACAGAATTAGTGACTGGTTGGCTAGTGTGGCGGGAGTTAGAATTAGTGTCTGGTTGGCTAGTGTGGCGACATAATTAGTGTCTGGTTGGCTAGTGTGGCGGGAGTTAGAATTAGTGTCTGGTTGGCTAGTGTGGCGACAGAATTAGTGTCTGGTTGGCTAGTGTGGCGGGAGTTAGAATTAGTGTCTGGTTGGCTAGTGTGGCGACAGAATTAGTGTCTGATTGGCTAGTGTGGCGGGAGTTAGAATTAGTGTCTGGTTGGCTAGTGTGGCGACAGAATTAGTGTCTGGTTGGCTAGTGTGGCGAGGGTGAGAATTAGTGTCTGGTTGGCTAGTGTGGCGACAGAATTAGTGTCTGGTTGGCTAGTGTGGCGAGGGTGAGAATTAGTGTTTGGTTGGCTAGTGTGGCGACAGAATTAGTGTCTGGTTGGCTAGTGTGGTGACAGAATTAGTGTCTGGTTGGCTAGTGTGGTGAGAGACAGAATTAGTGTCTGGTTGGCTAGTGTGGTGAGAGACAGAATTAGTGTCTGGTTGGCTAGTGTGGCGACAGAATTAGTGTCTGGTTGGCTAGTGTGGTGAGAGACAGAATTAGTGTCTGGCTGGCTAGTGTGGCGAGAGACAGAATTAGTGTCTAGTTGGCTAGTGTGGTGAGAGAATTAGTGTCTGGTTGGCTAGTGTGGTGAGAGAATTAGTGTCTGGTTGGCTAGTGTGGCGACAGAATTAGTGACTGGTTGGCTAGTGTGGCGAGAGACAGAATGAGTGTCTGGTTGGCTAGTGTGGTGAGAGTTATAATTAGTGTGTAGTTGGCTAGTCATCCCTCTCTCCGAGTCGTCAACTCTTTCTCTCTCTCTCTCTCTCCAAGTGGTCTTCTCTCCCCGAGTCATCCTCTCTCTCGATACGAGAGCGATGCGCGAACACTGTATGGCGGTGGCGACGGTGTTACGGGTGGAAATGGTCAGTATTGTCGAGATCGCGTGGCAGCCGTGGCGGCCGTGGTGGACACGCGGGCACCTTGTACGTGTCCACGTGGGCGGCGTGCGGGAAGTGCACCGTGGCCACGAACGTGTGCACAAAGTTGCTCTTCTGGCCCTCGAGGAAGAGGCTCTTGGCGATGATGTTCGACACGAAGTTCTTGCCCGTGCCCGTCCAGCCATGAAAGGACAACGCCAGGGCCTTTTGCGGGCTCGGGTTGCTCGCGTACCTGCGTGTGGGGAGGGGGGGCCGTGGGGGGCGTGTGGGGAGGGGGGCCGTGGGGGGCGTGTGGGGAGGGGGGCCGTGGGGGGCGTGGGGGAGGCGACGGGGATCGTCATTAGCGGAACTCCGCCGATTCACGCGTGCAGGGTTTGCCCGTTTACCCGCGGCGCTCCTGCCCATGTGACGTTCCGAGGTGTTTTAACTAAAGAATGTTTCCATTCATTTTTGCCAGGTGAGGAGGGCGTTCTGAGCCACGTTGCTCGACCAAGTGGCTTATCGTCATCATCATCATCATCACCACCATGCGGGAATTTATAGCAGCAGCCAAATATTCTCGAGTGTCAGGGTTGGGATCGAACCCACGACCTCCTGTGTACCAGGCGAGGTAGTTAACATCTCCTAGCCACCGTGATGATGATGAGAGAGAGAGAGAGGGACACGCAAACTCCAAATATACAGCTGCAGGTGTCAGGGTCGGGATCGAACCCACGACCTCCTGTATACCAGGCGAGGTAGTTAACATCTCCTAGCCACCGTGATGATGATGAGAGAGACACAAACTCCAAATATACAGCTGCAGGCGTCAGGGTCGGGATCGAACCCACGACCTCCTGTGTACCGGGCGAGGTAGTTAACATCTCCTAGCCACCGTGATGATGATGAAAGAGAGAGACACGCAAACTCCAAATGTACAGCTGCAGGTGTCAGGGTCGGGATCGAACCCACGACCTCCTGTGTACCGGGCGAGGTAGTTAACATCTCCTAGCCACCGCGGAGGTGAAGAGCTGGGGCAGCTAAACAATGCATCAATAGAAACACAATTATTTTTTTTTTAAATCCTCAATATTATACGAGCATCCAATCGTTGTGCGAGGGAACAGTGTGTTCATACAGTCACACCTCAGTGTACGACCGCTTTGGAATACGTCGAATTTGGTGCACGTCGTGTTTTCGACGAGAATAAAGTGTCTTGGGATAACGAACGTCTTGCCCGGGATGCGACGCGCTCGCTGGAACTTGTACGGGTCGGGATGAGTCACCGCGTACCCCGCGTAGACCCCGTTCACGACTGAAACAAAGCGCCGCTCCTTCAGCGTGCCTGTGGATCTCGGTCAGTGGCACGACCCTTGCTAGAACTCTTCTGTGAATTTTTAACGCGTTTCAACTCCTCTCAGCAAGGTGAAGTGACGTTAAATGTTATTTTAATTTATTTGTGCATTTATTTTAATTTATGTATGCATTTCAGTAATAAGCAGCGTCTAACTTACGTTATACAACCACATTAATGTATAGTATGCCATGTAAAATATCATTTCTTATACTCTGGAACGGATTATTTCCTTCCCCGTTATTTCTTATGGGGGAAAATCCGTTTGGCAGACGTCATTTTCGGTGTAAGTCCTACCCCTTCTGGAACGAATTAACGACGTATACCGAGCTACCGCTGCAGTTTGTGCAATTCATAACGTAAACGGTGCGCTAATTTTTTACGCTAGTGGCAGTGTCATCAAACAAAACCAAACAAATGCCGAACATTTCGATTTAAAGCTTTCGCGACTGCAGGGATTCACATTCTTGGTTCTTTCGGTAAAGTCACCTGCACGTAGAAGGGAAACAATAAAATAATAAAAATATAAAACAATAAAATTCTCACGACGTTTCGACTGCAACACAAGCAACCATTCATCACCTGACTTTACCGAAAGAACCAAGAATATAAATGCCAAACAGTATAAATTAAACGGGAAAGGCGAGGCTAGTTGCAAATCATTGAGAAGCCGAGGTGATGGGTAGTTGTACGTCTAGAAGTGTTCGGAACTCTCGCAGAGAGCAGCGTATCACTTTGTGCTAGAGAACTGTCTGCAGAAGACGATATTGCAGAACTACTTCCGAGTTCAGGGGGTTTGTTGCTTAAATGAACGGCTGCTCGAAAACATCTGTCCAGACGGCCCATAGGCTGACGGATCAAACTGCTATGCCAGGTGTTGGTTGCTGCAGCTGATGGTGGCAATGTTGGTGTTTCTGGTGGTAGTGGTGGTGGTGTGGGGAGCGGTGGTGCAACGGTTAGCGCTACGCTGCGCTACGAACCCGGCGACCCGAGCTCGATTCCCGCTCACGGCCAACACCGGTGTGACGATTGTCTGAACCGGTTTGTGGGCCTCCCCTAGGTCGACTCAGCTTCAAATGAGTAGCTGGTGCGATGTGTAAAGATCGCCACTGGGGAGACAAAGGCGGTCGGGCGTGGCACTGGCCACCCACCCCCTCGTGTCCCGTTCCGGCTCGCTAACAGCACTTGCCCTTACAGTCTGTTAAGGCTACACGGGGGATCTTTGTGTCTGTGTGTAATTGTGCAAGCCAACGTCAGGACTCGAGGTAGGCGAAAATGGGTGCCACTCGCTAACAGATGTTGCTCCAACAGCCTCTTAAGGCTATACGGGGGGGCGGGGCGGTGTTTGGTGTGTTGGCGTGGATGTGCCGTACCCGCCCATGGCCCTGAACACCACGTGGTGCACCAGGTGCTGCCCGTAGAGTTGTTGGTCCAGCTCCTCTTTGAGAACTGTGGGCACAGCGGCGGAGAGAAGTTGGTGAGGTCGCGCGACTCCCACACGGGCAACGTGCCCTCGCCCTCGCACCAAAGGGCTTGCCACAAAAGAACCACGATCTTGTCAAGGAACAAAAAGCATCAACACGTCAACTCTGCTTTTCCTCGCAGCGGCAGCGGCGGCTTCCGGCTGGCCACCAAGCAAAGACGGTCACCGCATCGTGCGGCGCTTCCGGATGTGCTTCTGCGGCCGTCTGGAACGCCCTTCCGATATTAGCAAGCTACTGAAGCGTTGCACTTTTTAAAATCATCTAGACTGAAAACTAATTTCTTTAGAACTGCTCTTTGTGTTTAGTTTGCCGTCCTTCCCGCACACCTCCAATGAGCTCGGCTGGTTACGTACGGTGCGAAAGAAGTTCGACATACATACAATAATGCCCCAATTTACATCTCACCCTTTTATGTCGTTTCGCAAATGCAGTCTGTTCTCCTACAGCGCGTAGTTTTCATAACGCAAATTGGATATAACGCAATCAATGCATTAAGCATGCGAACCAACGGAACTCCGTCGCGCGAGTATGAATAAGCGGTTGTACGACTACCTCGGCGTAGCGTCGCACACAAGGCATCGGGATGCTGCTGGATGCTTCCAGATGCTACCCACGCACTTCGGTCTTTACCCGGCCTGCGTAACGCTTCTCACGCGTTATCGCGGACCGGACTTGACCCCACATTATATATTATTGTTTATAACGAGATTCTTCCGTAACGCCGTGTTCTTCAGGAACGCAATTACCATGTTATGGGGGAACTCGACTCTACGTCGTCGCTTTAGTAACCCTTTCCCGTTCCGAGATGCCTGCAGGTTGCAGGGCGCGGTCTCGTTCACCGCTGAACCTCGGGACGCGGCGAGCTGTTTATATTATTCAGGCGTAGTCGCAGCGGCGTTGTTTTTAAAGACGTCGTGCTCACCGCAGAGAACCGTAGCGACGCCCGCACTCTACGACAGCCGGCGCCAAAGGTGTGCCACACGCCCTCCTGCATGGCCCTTTACTTCTCGATGACGTCCCGATGACGTACCGACGACGTGCACATACACGTACGTCATCGGAACGGGAAAGGGTTAACACCGCTACGCGACTCCCGTCGCCTCAACCCAAAACTCACGTCGCCAACAGCATCGTCCGCCCTTTCCCGTTATCCGTCGCCTCTCAGCCTTCGCCTCCAGCCACCCCGGTACCCGAACCACAATGTACTGCCTCTGCTCTCCTAGAGCGCGGTCGTTGCGTTCCCGAAGAACGCAGCGTCATGGAACAATCGCATCGTGCACATCGTACGATACAGGGTGTAAAAAGCGCAGTCCGCGACAACGCGCCAGATGCGCGACGCAGGCCGAACAAAGACCGAGGCGCGTGGGGAGCACCTAGAAGCATCCAGCAGCATCCCAACAACGCCTTGCGCGATGACGAGGCTACGCCGAGGCAGCCGCACGACCGCTTATTCCTACTCGCGCTGCGACGTAGTTCCGTTCACTCGATCGCGTTCTATCCGATTCGCATCCGCGTTATATATATATACGCACAGTAAAACCTTGGATTGCGAGTAACTTGGTCTGCGAGCGTTTTGCAAGACGAGCAATTTTTTTTTTAAATAAATATTAATTTGATAAACGAGCGAGGGTCTTGCAATACGAGTAGTAGTACGTATAGACGCTTTGTCTGCCGAGCGTCACGTGATCACAACTGATATACGAGTGCTTTGGATTACAAACACGTTTCCGGAACGAATTATGCTCGCAATCCAAGGTTTTACTCTATATAAAAAAAGGTGTTCCCTAATACGTTCATCACGTGATAACCAATTCGCGTTATGAAAACTACGCAGCGTTATAGGAGAACAAGGACTGTTATTATTTACATAAACTGGGCTGTTGTTGTAACATCCCTTGGCACCACACTGCCCGGATATGCATGCAGAGCCCATTATAATGCTACAGGGTGGCCCGAGACCCGGGACACGTAGGGTTATTATATTTATGTTCTAATAAATCACATATGGTTATTTCACTTATTTTAATAAATTACATAGGGTTATTGTAACAACTCAAATAGAGTAATAGTTATTTTAGCAAATCGTAGAGGGTTATTTCATTCATTTGAACATGTTCAAACTGACTTCACAGTAATACATGAACTCCCTTTTTAAATGAATGTACGGGCGTAACCTCTGAATGTTCACCAACTATGTTTCGTGTCCCTCCATTCCGCGTTCTTGGTCGAGTTTTGTAAACGGCGGATTTGAGGTGACCCCCCCCCCACCTCACAGGAAGAGGAAAAAGATATGTTAATAACAATACGAGGTGAAATATTAACTTAAAATAAAATGTTTTTCATGCCAGTGTTGAAATAAATGTAATAATCCGATGTGTCCTGGTGCCGTCGGTGGCTATGAGATGTTGACTACCTCGCCTGGTGTACAGGAGGTCGTGGGTTCGACCGCAACCCTGGCGCCTGCTGCTGTATATTTGGAGTTTGCGTCTCTGTGTCAACATCATCACGGTGGCTATGAGATGTTGACTACCTCGCCTGCTCTACACGAGGCCGTGGGTTCGATCGCGACCCTGACGCCTGCTGTATATTTAAGGTTTGCAAACCGTCAGCGAGGACTAAGACAGTGAAGTAAAGTACCTGTAATGGCACGGTAATCACACACTCTCACCGTACCACGGGGGTCAATGCATGTACACGCTCGGTTTGATGTTCGTTGCTTTCAATGTTCGCAAACGGGGTTTGACTGGTACCTACCGGATTGTTTTTGATACGTGTGATAATTGCTCTGACGTTTACTGGGGCGGGGGAAGGAGCTGATACAATTACCTCGCCTATATAAGTGGCGGTTAAAGATGAAGGCATCATTCTCAGAGGAGTCATCAGGCACGGCTGAGACCTCTCATTTGAGCAGGGCAGAAAAGCGTGACCCTGTTTTCGCTGGTACTTTAACACCGCGATAACATAAAATGCTTAGACACACGGATGTAAAGTTATCGTTCGACTGGAAGCGGACACGGTTATGACCATCGCTATTAATAGCCTAAAGCAATGCGCACATTCATACCGAAAGATGGGAAATATTTATTGAAAGTGTTGGTATTCTGTGGTGGTGACTGCGATAGCCCAGCCCGGAACGAGGTGGCACTACCTCACCGTATGCACAGTACGTACGTTGAACTTCTTTCGCACCATACGCAGCCAACCGTGCTAATCGGAGGTGCGGTAGGAGAACAAACCCAAGCACGCTAAAAAAGGAGTTCGAAAGAAACGCGTTTTCCATCTGGATATGAAAGTGCACAGCTCCTGCGTCTTTGTCCGTTGGCCAGCCAAAAAGCCGCCGCCGCCGCCGCTGCTACTGCGGGGACGGCCACGGTTTGCGCGACGACGGTGTCGCAACAGCCATGGTAGCATTGTTCGAGATTCGCGTGGGTGTTGTACACGGGGTCAAGCAAGGGTCAAGAGGATGTCGTCTGCGGCGAGAGACACGAACTTGGGACCCTTGACGCACGAGTAACGGCTCTCGGGTTGGTCGACGTGGAATAACAAAGGCAAAGATCCCCCGTGTAGCCTGCAACGGACTGTTGGGGCAAGTGCTGTTAGAGAGCACCGACGAAGGCAGCCACGGCTACACGAGGGGGTGGGTGGCCAGCACCACGCACGGGCCACCTTTGCCCGGCCCAGTGGCGATGTTTACTACTGCACACCGCACCAGCTACTCATTGGAGGCCGAGTCAACCGCGGCGAGAAGGCCCAGGACCGGTTCAGATAATCGCCACTGGGTGTTGGCCGCGAGCGGGAATCGAACACGGGTCGCCGGGTTCGTAGCGCAGCGTAGCGCTAACCGCGAAACTATACGACCCGCTCCGGTGCCGGCAGCGACACACACACACACATCTGTATTTCGTGGGACGTTGTAGGAGTGAAGCGTCTTGCTGCTGTACTCCGCTCCGATGTGAAGTAAACGTAGCACTGAAAACTTCCATCTCCTTCGGCGGCTCGTCCGTCACCAATACGGAACGTAAGTCACTCGGTGTCGCCGCAGATTCTCCCGGTCGATTTAATTTCGCCCCGTACGCGACGGCTACCTCCGGATAAAAGGGCCGGGCCCGGAGAAGTGGACTCGGGGAAAGTGGGTGGAGATTGTGAGGTGGACGAGAACGTTCTAAAAACACGTCTTTTAATTGGCACGTGAATAATGGTCAAGAATGATTGCAATCCTGGATCACCATGACGACGATGATGACGACTACAGTGAATTATCATTATAATTGTGATACTACCGCGATGATATGACCAATCTCTTTGGTTCGTTCAGGTAAAGTCACGTAGGTAGAAAAAAATAATAGATCACGTCGTTTCGATTGCAACACAAGCAACCCATCATCAAACCATTCCTCCTGCTGTGTTTGTTTCACACCTGATGACGGACGCTTGGTGCTGCGACCGAAACGTCGTTGATTTATTTTATTTTTTCCTACCCACGTGACGACTTTACCGAAAGAACCAAAGAGTGTGGATTCCTGCAGTCACGAAAGCTTCAAATCTAGATTGATATGACCTTGATTAGTACGGTTAAAATACCTTATCGCCAAGTTGATCATGAAGAATGATATCAATTTGGATGGTTGACCGTGAAGTATTTGAAGATGACTATCACCACCACCACCACGATGATGATGAAGAAGAGTGTTTTCCGATCACCATGATCAGGGGTCGGGAAATCTTTCACGAAAGAGGAAGAGCCATTTATGTTTTTGTCTTTGACCCAATTGGTTCACAGAGAGCCACATCACACACCCAGCTACTTGTACACACACACAGCAGCGGGCATACAGCAGACGACAACAACGACAACACATTCTGACTTAAATCAACAAAGTAGGCGACTATTTAGCTGTTCATCCCCCCTCTTAGTCATTCTTTAACAAGACAGTTCGACTGTTGTGCATTTTGTGCGTCGCCAAGACATTCCGCAGCGACGCCATTCCCTGCCACATTTGATCAATTATCTTCATGCTAAATTACGTTTGAAGATTTAAAAAAAAAATGTTAACGGGCTGCCCGCAATGGGGGCAACCAAAGAGCCGCCGAATGCGGCTTGGAAGCCCGCAGATTGCCGACCCCTTGACCATGATTATTGATTACGGGGGGGTAGGGGGGGGGTCCATGTGGAGGACCACCACCTGTTCATGATTATTAATGAGGGCTGGTCGACGTGAAGTGACGTCACGCGCGTTACACACAGACATTCTCGGCTCGTTATATTAGGAACGAGCCTCTTTGCCCGTCCAAGGGCGGGTGTATTGCAGTACATCTGAAACTTGCAAGCGAAAAGGGCAGACAGCGACGTCATGTGTTCATTGCATCGATGCGTGTGCAGTTTGTAAGGGCGCGGTGACACGGACCTATTTCATTTTAAGGTTACAATCCCTCGTTCATCGCGACGTCCTTTTTACTTTGATGTCTCAACAACAGCGTCACGGAGATCACGTGATGACGCGAGGGTTCTGCCTTTGTAGTGAGGGTTGTCAGTTGACGCCGAGGAGGGGGGAGGAGGCGCCTCGCCCCCCCACCCATGTGGAGTGACGTCACCCGCTAATTATTATGAATGGGGGGGGGGGGGGTGACCATTTGGAGGATGTCACCTTACAATGATTATAAATGAGGGGGGGCTGTTCGATGTGGAGTGACGTCACCTGCTCATGATTATTAATTAGGTAGGGCTGGTCGACGTGGAGTGACGTCACGAGTGTTGCACACGGACATTCTTGGCTCATTATAGGAGGTAATAATAATTGGGGGGGGGGGGGTGTCCATTTGGAGAAGGGGCGGAGCCAGGATTTGAGGCCGGGGTGACATTAAACAAATGTTAATTTCAAGAATGATTAGAGAGTCAGGCTGTTGAACTAGACGCCATCGGTTGGCGACACACTCTGACAATGCAGTTGCACGGAGTACGCCAGACCGAGTGTCGTACACTTATACGCAGAATGTCACCCCTGTCACCCCCCCTGGCTCCGCCCCTGATTTGGAGGACGTCACCTGCTCATGAATATTAATGAGGGGGGGGGGACTGGTCGATGTGGAGTGACGTCACGAGCGTTAGGGACAGACATTCCTGGGTGATTATTGGGTATGTGCACGCTGATGAAGATAACGATGATGGTGGTGGTGGTTGTGGTGATGACGGTGGTTGTAATGATGATGATGGTGGTGGTTGTGGTGATGATGGTGGTGGTGGTTGTGGTGATGATGGTGGTGGTGGTGGTGGTTGTGATGATGATGGTGGTTGTGGTGATGATGATGGTGGTTGTGGTGATGATGATGATGGTGGTTGTGGTGATGATGATGGTGATGATGATGGTGGTTTTGGTGATGATGATAGTGGTTGTGGTGATGATGATGAGGCAAGATGCTACACTGTTGGCAGGTAACGTCATCATAGACCGTCATCAGTAATTGTCATCATCAGTCATCATATCATCATAGTCATATCATAGATATCATCAGTCATCATCATAGTCATCACATCATCATAGACATCATCATAGTCATCACATCATCATAGACATCATCATAGTCATATCATCATAATATCATAGACATCAGCCATCATCACCATAGTCATCATCATAGCATAGATATTAGTCATCATCATAGTCATCATAGACATCATCAGTAATCACAATAGTCATATCATCACAGACATCATCAGTCATCATATCATCACAGACATCATCATAGTCATCATCACAGTCATCATATCAGCATATCATCATCGCCCCAGCCATCATCACAGATATCATCATCTTGGACATCATCATAGTCATCGCCACAGTCATCATCATATCATCACAGACATCATGATCACAGACATCATCATCTTAGACATCATCATCACAGACATCATATCATCACAGACATCAATCTCACAGTCATCATCATCACAGACATCATCATCACAGACATCATCATCACAGTCATCATCACAATCATCATCACAGACATCATCATCACAGACATCATCATCACAGTCATCATCACAGTCATCATCATCTTAGACATCATCATCACAGTCATCATCATCATCACAGTCATCATCATCACAGACATCATCATCACAGTCATCATCATCACAGTCATCATCACAGTCATCATCATCACAGTCATCATCATCACAGTCATCATCATCACAGTCATCATCACAGACATCATCATCACAGTCATCATCATCACAGTCATCATCATCACAATCATCATCATCACAGACATTATCATCACAGTCATCATTATCACAGTCATCATCATCACAGACATCATCATCACAGTCATCATCACAGTCATCATCATCACAGACATCATCATCACAGACATCATCATCACAGTCATTATCATCACAGTCATCATCATCACAATCATCATCATCACAGTCATCATCATCACAGACATCATCATCACAGTCATCATCACAGACATCATCATCACAGTCATCATCATCACAGACATCATCATCTTAGACATCATCATCACAGTCATCATCATCATCGCAGTCATCATCATCACAGTCATCATCATCACAGTCATCATCACAGACATCATCACAGTCATCATCATCACAGACATCATCATCACAGTCATCATCATCACAGACATCATCATCACAGTCATCATCATCACAGACATCATCATCTTAGACACCATCATCATCATCACAGTCATCATCATCTTAGACATCATCACAGTCATCATCATCATCGCAGTCATCATCATCACAGTCATCATCATCACAGTCATCATCACAGACATCATCATCACAGTCATCATCATCTTAGACATCATCATCATCACAGTCATCATCATCACAGTCATCATCATCTTAGACATCATCATCACAGTCATCATCATCATCATCGCAGTCATCATCATCACAGTCATCATCATCACAGTCATCATCACAGACATCATCACCGTCATCATCATCACAGACATCATCACAATCATCATCATCGCAGTCATCATCACAGTCATCATCACAGTCATCATCATATTAGACATCATCATCACCACAGTCATCATAGCCGCGCGTAGCAGTCACCGGTGACGTTGAGCTGTATCCAGGGCGGGCTGCAACACTCGCCGAGCCAGCAGGCGACGCGCGGCCCGCTGTAGGAGAGGAGACAGGTGACGACCGACGCCGTGGCCACGGCCAGCGTCGTCACCACGGGCTCGAACGCTTCAACGCGGCACGGCAATGGGCCCAGCAGGGGCAGCAGCAGCAGGAGCAGCAGGGGCAGCAGGGGCAGCGGCAGCGTGGAGCGACGCATGGCGGGGTCTCGGGTGTGTGGTGGGCAAGCAAGCTGCCCCTCTTAGCTCTCTCTCTGACTGAGTGAGTGAGTGGACTGCCCCCCCAACACACCGCTTCCGATGGATGTCGCTGCCCTCCCACGACGATCGACTGGCCTAGCGCTGCCCCCTCCCTCTGACTCGATGGACGGACCCTGCCCTCGTAGCCCAGCGCTGCCCCACTCCCTCACCCCCCTCACGGTACCGATGAGCCCCTGGCTGCCCTTCACCCTCTGAGCGCCCCGTGCCCACTGCCCGCTGCCCCGATGTCGCTGCTCCCCCGGGCTGCCCAGCGACTTCCGGGGTCTTCCCCCCGCTACCACCTACGCCCCGCCCCCACCGTGTAAGTGGAAACCGTAGCGCGGATAGGCGCGAGTTTCCGGGCGGGTGACGCTAGAAACGGTAGAACGCATCGGGCGCCTTCCCGGCAGTGACGGCACGCCGCCGCCGCTGTGAGTGACATCAGAGTGAGGTCATAGTGAGATCAGAGTGAGGTCATAGTGAGGTGAGAGTGAGGTAATAGTGAGGTCAGAGTGAGGTCATAGTGAGATCAGAGGTCATAGTGAGGTCAGAGTGAGGTCATAGTGAGATCAGAGTGAGGTCATAGTGAAGTGAGAGTGAGGTCCTAGTGAGGTCAGAGTGAGGTCATAGTGAGATCAGAGTGAGGTCATAGTGAGGTCAGAGTGAGGTCATAGCGAGATCAGAGTGAGGTCAGAGTGAGGTGAGAGTTAGGTCATAGTGAGGTCAGAGTGAGGTAAGAGTGATGTCAGAGTGAGGTCATAGTGAAGTGAGAGTGAGGTCATAGTGAGATCAGAGGTGAGAGTGAGGTGAGAGTGAGGTCATAGTGAGGTGAGAGTGAGGTCATAGGTCATAGTGAGATCAGAGTGAGGTCACAGCTGTGCCGGGTGGTGGCGGGTTTCACGACACATCGATATATATGCGATCTAACCCTAAAGCCTCTATTGTGGATAATATTCTCGCGAAAGCCGCATATGTGTTGTAGGCAATCTGTTTATCAGTCTTCAATTGGCACTGTCGTCAAGTTTGATGCGATTCTAAGGCTAACTCGGCCTTCTTCCGAGACTGAATGAACCTGAAATCGAGTCCCACCGATGTCTCGATCACGAGTCAAATTAAGAGCGAGAATGTTGTTCAATTTGAAAATAATAAATGTATGACTACCAACCGTCGATATTGTAACCACGTGTCCTATTTTGGTCGCGAGGCGCATTCTTCCTGACTAGCTACGATAATCGATACCAAGTGTTTGACGGCATCGTTTCGTGCGGCTGTTTGGACGTGGACTCCACGCGTTGGGAAATTTGTCACGAGCGCCATGGATTCTACCTGGAGCGTCGACTCCGCGTCTCGACTGTGAGAGGCATCTCCATATCTCCATCCATATATTATATAAAAGGCAAAGTTGTGATTAAGTGTGTCTGTTCAAAATGTTTAGCGTACTTCCCGACATGCAAGAAACGTGAAATTTGCCATGTGGGTACTTTCCAGACTTTGCACCATGCAAAAATTATAAAAATACATAGATTTTTTGCACGGCAAGTGAGCTGTGACGTCAAATTTGTCACGTGACCCGCGCACGTGGAAGCGTAACGCATTGTGGTGTAGCGGTTAGCGCGCCGCACTACGAACACGGCGACCCGAGTTCGATTCCCGCTCACGGCCACCACCTGTGACGATTATTTAACTGGTCCTGGGCCTCCTCTAGGTCGACTCAGCCTCAAACGAGTAACTGGTGTGGTGTGTCAACATCGCCACTGGGGAGACAAAGGCGGCCGGGCGTGGTGAATCCAAGTCCTGGGCGAAGCCGGGTAGTAAAGCTAGTTATGATATATATTGGGGGGGACACATCCCCCTCAATATTCAAATGTGCTCAAAATGTCTCCCCCCCCACCAATATATTGCTATAAAATAGATTTCTGTTGATATGATTGTGGTTATGATGGTACTTTATAAATCCCTAATCTCTGCCATTACATACAATAAAACAAGAAAGGTAAAAAAAGTAAAAACAGAGCAATGTAATACAATACACTATTAGACATTATTGTAAAAAATAAATAAAGAGTCCATCCTATGTGTTAGTGAATTTTTAAAAATATTTTAGGCAGGAAATGAGTTTTAAAATGTTCATTTTTTTCTAGAGGGGGGACCCCCTGGTAGATTTGGGCCCCCCCCCCCCCAATATTGACTCCACAGTTACGGCCTCGGTGAGAGGAGTCGACTCCACATCGGAGTCGGCATCATCCGCTTGCAGGCTGACTGCAGAAGGAGAAACCCGATGAGCTATAAAGCTCTTTTACGCAGATGTCCAGCAAAGGGAGGGAGGAGGAGGAGGGGGTCAGGAAGTTACAAACAATACAAACAAACGATTGTAGTGCAAAATAGATCACGTAAGCAAATCAATAAATATAATTACATTAATTATAGAAGTGCGATGTTTCTCAATTCTTGAGCCTCATTTTATTTAGCAGGCAAGGCCCCACTGAGCTACGTAGCTATTCGTTTTCAGAAGCGACCACATGGCTATCGCAAATGACAGCTCAACGAAAAGTGACCTCATCGTCATCATGGAGATAAATTTATAGCAGGAGCCGAAATACTCTCAAACGCGTGGAAAATTACACGCGTCCACTTGGGGGGCGATACAGAACTTGCAAACTCTTAAACATATAACAGGCGTCGTCAGTCAGAATCGAACCCACGACCTCCTGCGAACCAGGCGATGGAGGTAACATTTTTGCCACCGTGGCAGAAACAGCAGCAGCAGCTGGGAACTCGATGCCAATGTGGAGGTCCTGCCGCCGCCGCCGCCGCCGCTGCTGCGACAGAGAGACACAAAACAATTACATAGAAAACAGGGGGAACATAGACATAGAGGAGGGAGATAGGGAGTAGAGAGAGAGAGGGGGTAGAGAGAGGGGGTAGAGAGAGGGGGGGTAGAGAGAGGGGGTAGAGAGAGAGGGGGGGTAGAGAGAGGGGGTAGAGAGAGAGTGGGGGTAGAGAGAGGGGTAGAGAGAGAGAGAGTGGGGGTAGAGAGAGGGGGTAGAGAGAGGGAAGGGGTAGAGAGGGGGGGGGTAGAGAGAGAGAGGGGGGGTAGAGAGAGAGGGAAGAGGTAGAGAGGGGGGTAGAGAGAGGGGGTAGAGAGAGGAGGGGTAGAGAGAGGGGATAGAGAGAGAGAGGGGTGGTAGAGAGAGAGAGGGGGTAGAGAGGGGGGGTAGAGAGAGGGGGTAGAGAGAGAGGGTAGAGAGAGAGGGAAGGGGTAAGAAGGAGGAGAGCAGAGCGTGAAATCTTTCATTTAAAAGGGGGGCGGGGGGGGCACATAAAGCAAAGCATTGAAAAACAAAAACAAAAAAACCGAAATGATGAACGAAGCAAAGTGCCGACTACACCCTAGCATCTTCTTGTTTTCTCTGATCGTAAAAAAAGAGAGAGAGACAGAGAGAGTTCGTGTCGTGTCGCTGTTCATCCTCCGTTGAAGGAGGAGCGCAGACCAGCGTGTTGTCGATACAGATTCGAGTTTAGATTGTATCTATGTCAGCAGTAAGGGTTTCATATATGGTCCATAGATTGGGCTGCGTGGCCACGATCACACTACCACCGCTTGTATTTAATGTACACCGACGAGTCTCGCTGGGTCTGTATCTCTACGAGTCTCTGCGTATCTCCATGTGTTTGCTATATGCTGTAAAGCTTGGGTGGCATGGCCAAAGTCGCACGGCTGTGGCCTGTCTTTAATTTACCTCTACGAGTTTCTGTAGGTCTGTATATCTATGAGTCTCGGTGGGTCTGTATCTCTAATGAGTCTCTGTGTTATCTCTTACGAATATTTGTTTCTGTGAGTGTCTCCATTGGCTTTCTATATCGTCCATAGTTTGGGTTGCATGGTCACTTTCGCTACTGTGGATTATCTATAATTAATGCATCTCTATGAGCCTCTGTGTGTCTCTGTGTAGCCCCTATCGGTGTACGATACGAAGTCGTACTTGCGTGACCACAATCACACTACGGTGTTATGACTTTCATTTTCCATTTATAAAGGAGATGCAGGGCAGCCTCGACCTGCTGCTGACGTCCTGATGCTGTCGATGGTTCCACCAGTGGCGAACGAGAGCGTGATTGAGTGGGTGGGTAGGTGAGTGAGTGGGTGGTTGAGTTAGTGTATGGGTAGATGAGTGAGTGGGTGGTTGAGTCACTGGGTGAGTGGGTAGGTGAGTGACTGGGTAGGTTAGTGACTGGGTGAGTGAGTGGGTGGGTATGTGGGTGCATGGGTAGATGAGTGAGTGGGTGGGTGAGTCACTGGGTGAGTGGGTAGGTGAGTGGGTGAGTGGGTAGGTGAGTGACTGTGTAGATTAGTGACTGGGTGAGTGAGTGGGTAGGTTAGTGACTGGGTGAGTAAGTGGGTGAGTAAGTGGGTAGGTGAGTGACTGGGTGAGTAAGTGGGTGGGTGAGTGGGTGTATGGGTAGATGAGTGAGTGGGTGGTTGAGTCACTGAGTGAGTGGGTTGGTGAGTGGGTGACTGGGTAGGTTAGTGACTGGGTGAGTGAGTGCATGGGTGAGTGAGTGGGTAGGTGAGTGGGAAGGTGAGTGAGTGGGTGGGTACGTGGGTGTATGGGTAGATGAGTGAGTGGGTGGGTGAGTCACTGAGTGAGTGGGTTGGTGAGTGGGTAGGTGAGTGACTGGGTAGGTTAGTAACAGCGTTCCTGTGGCTCTGGGTGAGATTCGAGGTTTCTGACAACAGAATTACTCTAGATCTGGCTGAGATTCTAGTACGGCGATAGAAGCAGTAGCAGAAGCGTTCCTGTGGATCTGGGTGAGATTCGAGGTTTCTGACAGCAGAATTCCTCTAGATCTGGCTGAGATTCAAGGATGGTGATAGCAGCAGCAGCAGCAGCAGGAGGAGCGTTCCTGCGGAACTGGCTGAGATTCTGGGAGAGTGGTTGCAGCAACATCAGCTGAGTGATCCCAGTGTGGGGAAGGCAATTGGATGTTTGGCGATATTGCTGTGGCGTTAAAAGCGGTGCACAAGCATGTTGACAAACTCAACGCATCCCATGTCAATAACAGTACTGTGTGTGTGGCCTTCAAAACAAACAAAAAAACAGGTGACGTTTCGGGCAATGGCCCCACTTCAAGGCACATGGCGAGACCGGACAGACTCATGCAACGTTGTTGGTCAAACGGTCGGTTTGGGTCACTCATTTCAGCCCAATGGTGAAACGGTTTCCTGTCGGGGTATGATAAGAGTTGCACTTTACACCATGACGCCCGTGATGAAAGTTCGCTC